TGATTAACTCTATACAAGTTTCTGAATCATATTACAAACCACAAATCAAATAGATGAGGAAAGTCTGTTTACTTTAGATATATTGGTTGATTGGCACGATAGTTGGCATGATGATAGTTAGTCGAAAACTATATACAAGTTTCTGAATAATATTTTAAATATTGAAACAATAGTTAGATAATAATAGATGAATTGTTGGTGTAATAATAGTTAGATAGATATAAAGCTATTGATTAACTCTAGAATCATGTTTTAGCATAATGTTAGATGATTATAAAACAATAATTTAATAATGTAGTCAAATAATAGTATTATACAATGTTTTGATTTCATATTAATTTAAAAGTACCAAATTTTATATGATTAAGTATTATTTTTGTGACATTAATTATATGCTATAAGCCGATTTTTTTTTTCAGTTATTTGACAATTACAAGTTCTAAAGTAATTATAGTATAAACTAGTGATTGAACCCGTCTCAAAAAGTACAACCCGGGTTACCTGACGGGTAGACCCGCGGGTCACCCGAGTAGACAGACAGATCTACTCGGGTACAAAGATTACCCATCAAACCCAGGTCAGAATAAAAATTTATTAGATCTTTAAGATCTTTAAATGCTACATCATATACAAGATCCTCTTTAATATAGACACCGTAAATACAAACCAACTACAGGATCTTTGCATACAATCTTAAGTTTACCTTGTTACAATATAAGTGCTCAACTGAATACTATACCTGGATCTATTATAAATTTTATAAAATGGGTATAATAATAGAACCAGGCCTTATATATAATCCTTTATAGTAGTAACTTAAAGAAAAAAATAGATTAATGAACTTTGCTAGCATTGGTGTAGTCGTTGGTGCAATACCTTCAATGATGGGTTGAGCTATATGTACAAATAACTTGGAATTAGGCGCTTGGATATTAGGTGCTAATTTTAACTTTTAAACAATTTTAGAGTTAAAAGACTCAAAAGTGAGTAATAAACTATATAGTATGCTTTATTTTAAAATAATAAACTATGCTAATACATTTTTTTTATTTTAATTTAATACAGCATATCAAAATATCCTTATTTCTACGTATAATATTTATTCCAATATATTTATCGACCCCAAACATTACAGTATTTACTATTCCGTTTAACAAATAATAATTTACTAACCATTTCAGATGATAATCGATTTTTTTTAGGAGTAATATGGTTTCCCGCATCTGAAAAAAGACGTTCACTTGAGACAGAAGTTGCAGGGATTGACAAATACTTGTGTGCAATTTTACTTAAAATAGGAAAGGAATCTTTTTTAGTACACCACCAATTATAAACGTCCGTATCCAAGTTTGAAAGTAGGGTAATGGATTCATTTAGATAATTGTCAATTTCAATTTCTCGATTAATTTGGCTTCGACTTTACTAAGAACTTTTTTCATAAAGGAAGGTGCCAATAAAGAATAGGTTGTTTTAATAGGCTCGGTCAATTCATCGGTTAGTAAACTTCTAAATTCAGTACGTAACAACCCAATTATATTATTTATCGTTATATTTGACCATGCGCTCATTGATTTGAATCACAGATCCAGTAGGATAGCGATTAGTCCTATATCCTCTGAATCATCTCAATAATTACAGAGAGAAGTATAGATCACTTCTCAGATGTTTGAGATTATTTTCTTATTTGAAAGTGGTACTTTGTACCCCTGCGTAGTTGATTGTTGGGGTGTATCATTTTCTGAAATTTCATCACTATCGTTGTTATCTGAGAATAATATTTCATTTAAAATTAACAAAAAATTTTATTAATTTTTATTTTTTAAATTAATTAAATATTCATTTAACTTTATTTTATATATACTATTATTGTCATTAAGGGTTTTTTCAATCTCATCTAATGAATATTCAACATCAACGAAGCTAAGCTTTAATGCCTCGATGCTTATGTTAACGACTGAAAGATGGGATATTTGATCCCACTGAGATAAGTTGTAAATTCATCAAATGGTTCAAGTGTTTCTACTATTCCTTCTAATAACTTCCACTCATTTTCCTTAGGCATGAGGAGGTTTAACTTATTAGAATCTTCTTTAGTACTGTTATCAGATTGCAAATGTAAAGTTGCAGAGAGCCATTCGATTGCTTTACATAGTGCTAGAAGTCATTTCCATGACTTATAAGTTGAGTTTCACCGAGTTTTACTATCATTGATAGTGCGTAAAATTTTTAATTCTTCCTCCTCAAAAACTTCTAAACTTTCATTTTTCATTTCTATTTCAGGTAAATTGTTAGAATCATACAATTGAATTGCCTTTACATTGATATTATTATGACGAGATAGTTTGGATGATCGGAAAAATTTGATAAGTTTACGGATTCGTTTAGTATATGGTTTAATGGTTTTTAGGGCTTGATTTACAGTGAGTTAAAGTGTATATGCAAAACAAGAATGATGTTCTACACCACCCCAAAACCTAATAGCTTTTTTCATATTTGCCCATTGTCTGTTACTGCACAAAATATTTTTTCAAATAACTCATATTCACTTATTTTATTATATAAATAATCTTTTATTCTTTCACCCTAATGAGGATGCTCCATAGGTTCAATAGCTAACATTACATCACGTACCTCAAAGTTTGAAGTTAGCTAATGAAGTGTCACCCCAATATATCCATCATTATTGGAGATGTTCACAAGTCTGTAGTTACAGAGGCAGTTTCACAGGTGTTAGAGATCAATTTTTTAAGTTCTAACACTCCTTTTTGATAGGCAATAATGAGGTCTGTTTTAATGCTTTTGTAAGTTAGTGGTATGAATACCAGGTCAATACAATTAATCATTTTTCGATAACTTTTTCTATAGACAATGCTAAATGGTAGAGCATTAGTAACTAGCCATTCAGTTGTGACTCTTTTTAATTCGGCTTGCTTTGGTGCATGATGTGGGGTTGCTTTTTTTACCATTTCATCAAGTTGCAACTGACGTTTTTTATCTGAATTTGCATGAGGTTCCTCATCTGGCGACAAAATTTCATGCTTTAATAAGAGATGTTGTTTCATATTTCCTGTTCCACCATTATGCTTATAACTTGTTTGACATTCAACTTCTTCACCTTTTTTCAAAGTAATTATTTTACAAACGTTATGTTCATCTATAGTTCGAAAGTAATCCCAAACATAAGACTTTTTGGCCGTTGAATTAATCGGCTTAGTAATATTTACTTTGATCTTTTTTGGATTGGGTTGATCTGCAGATTCTTTTGCATTTTTCTCCTGGCAGACATATCAGAAAGGTCGCTAATTTCTTGAATATCATCACTTTTATCGTAAATGGATTTATCATAGGTTTTCTCATCAGAAATGTATTCATTATCGCTATTCATAATTAGGCGTGGATTAAAAAACTTTTGACTGGGTCTTTTTCTTGTTTTATATTTATGTAAAGATAGAATATAATTACTAATATATGACTATTATTTTTATTTTTAGTTTGAACTTGAGTTATATTATAATAATTAATATAAGCAAATCAACAATATGATTAGAAGAAATATTATGAGATTTTAAAATTAATAGAAGTTATTGCAAATGTTTTTGGAATCAGTAATAAATGTGTATATAATTTGATCTAGTTTTAACTCAGAGTATCGAGGAATTGCTCAACTCAAATACTAATATAGAATTAATTTGATCAAGGCAAGGAAACGTTCTTTATATATATAATTTTGATTATGTGATATTTAGACATTGAATATCCAAAGCCTCAAACTTTCATGTACGAAAACAAAGCTTTGTTTTTTATTTCTATTCCCTCAATTTGCAAGTAGCCTAAACCGCACCAGTCATTAAACCCAAAGAGATTCTATAAAAGTATCATTTTAGCACGGATTTTAAGATTATATTGGTGAGTTTTTTGCAATTATTTCCTTTTTCTACTGCAAAGACTCTATATTATTTTTATTTTTATTTTTTAACTAAGTAGCAATCTTGTCTGTATATCTTTATTATAATAATATATGATTACATTTTTATATACAGTAGTTTATTAACGAAAGTACAACTAGCCACACGTATAACTTTAGTTATTATCTAATTAAGGGTTCCACCTAGTGATGTGCTATTTATATGATACCTGAATTTTTTTAGCATACAGTACGTACAGTATGTACAGTATATATAGTTGTATAGTGTATATAATATACATAATATATATAATATATATAGCATTTATAAATAAGTTATATGCAACATTTTGCAAGAAACAATTCTTGTTAGAGTGTGAAAGACTGTTTTATAGTCAAAATTTTGAGATAGGGATACTTTTATAATTTGTTCTAAAACATTTTAAAAAATTTTTGCGTACTGTACTGTATATAGTATATCTCTAGTTCCATCTATAGATTACCCACTAGATGCCATATCTAAGACTCGCCTCTGGGTCCTCTATTTAAACTTTTTGATTTTCAATCCTATTTGCATGAATATGCGATACTTACATTACTATTAAGTGCCAAATCAGGTAAGGACTGTTTGATTACTATTTATATCAAGTACCACTTTATTGGATGTTACTATGTATCGATAATTCTGCAACTTATCCTTAATGCAAACTACTAAGTATAGTATCAAGATTATTATTTTATCCAATTTCAGTATATCCCGTATCTATTGAAACTAGTTTTTGTATCAGAGGTATTCGAATTTTGGTAAATCTATTTCTTTTCTATAATTTCCGTTTATGTTTGCCATATTATCTGCTAGTATGCTTTCTTTCTATTTCTGGTATATTCACCACTTCTCTTACATCAAACACCAACTCTCTATATTGAGAGACTTCTTTCTGATAACTTCTTTATATACTAATTTTTTTATTTATATAGACTTAGCCACAGAGCTTTGTGTACATTCATATGCTTCCATAGATTACAGAGTTTTGCCTCCAGCTAGAATTAAACTGTTGACCTTGTCTGTGGAAGGAGAGGCATCTAGACCACTAGGCTATGAGATCCCATTTCTGACTATATTATTTTTTTAAAACTGTTTATTAAAAATATTATATAATATACAACTACTACAGTACTATTATTTTCTAATAACTATACTAATACTACACTAGTCGAATATAAGAAATTTGACCACCAAATAAAATGGCTGAATCGATCTGAATTCGACTATCAAATATTTGGCTGATATTATACCGAATGATAGAGTAAATCAGTAGCTAATAGATAGTTGAATGCTAATAAAAAATTAGCAATCGAATTTAGATTGAAAATTTCAATCAACAATCGATTGACATAATAAAATCGACCTGTAATCAACGACCAAATACTTATTAAATCAGAATAAAATTGGTATAAATTTAATAGCTGAATTCAGATCGATTCAGCTATTTCATTTGGTAGTCGATTAATTATAATAAATCGACTTCTAATCAACTACTGAATACTTATAAAATTCAGAATAAATCAGTATAAATTTGATGGCCAAATTCAGGTCAATTCAGCCATTTTATTCAGTAGTCAATTAATTACAATAAATCAACTTATAATTGATACCAAATACTAATAATCAACAACTGCTTACTAATAATATTTAGTATAAATTCGATAGCTGAATTCAAGTCGAATTGGCTATTTCAATCGATTGTTAATTAATAATTGACAATCGATTACTAATAACATTCATACAAATCGAATTCTGGATAATTTTAATATAATATAAATTTATTAAAACAAATTAGATACAAATTTAAGAAAAAAGAAAAAAACTAAAAGTAAGAAAAAAACAAAAAAAAAGAAAAGAAAAAGAAGTGAATAAAATTTGAAAAAAAACAAAAAAAGAAAGAAGAAAAAATAAATTAAACCCTTCATTTTCTTGAAGGTTCCTCTATAGTATTAGAAGCTAGTCTTTTACTACAACTTTTGGCACTCTTCCCTTCATCATCATCACTCCTCCATTTACCATTATCATCAGAACCCTCATTCTTATCTGCTTTTAACTCATCCTCTTCTTCCTTTTTCTCATTTTTCTCTTCTTTCTCCTTACTTATATCATCATCATCATCATCATCATCATTATATTCATCTCTTACAGCCTAATTAGTTATATTAACGAGTTAAGGAGCCATCAACATATATGAGCTTTGACAGAGACGTTTGGAATTAAATTGTATGGCTATATCGAGGATACCATACAACAAATCGGTTAACTATTAAAATAAAAAGAAAAATCAACATGCAAATAACAAATTAATTACATTAGTATTCTTGTTATCACTATTTGACTGATGTTTGATATGTCAAATGATATGCTATATATATCATTTGACATATTGAACATCAGTCAAATAGTAGTTAAATTTTTGCTAGTGTAATAAAAAAAAAATTTATATTTTTTTCGACCTCCAAGCCAAGCCATGGATATTAACATACAAATAACTTCTTTCATCCGTTTCTTTACTGGGGTCCAACATCTTAGATGAATGGATGTCATTATTGACTAAAACTTTGATTAATTCTTTCATATCATAGCTAGAAAATCAAGTATCATTCTTTGAATAAAGATACTTGAATGCTGAAGCTTGCTGAGACATTTTCTGTAAAATTAAATTAAAATATTGAAAACTAAAATTTAGTAAATTATGACTTAAATTAATCTAAATTCAGCTAAATCGATTTTTTATGACTTAAAATCGACCTAACTGAATTTAGATCGATTTTAAGTTATAATTTATAATATATATATATAACTTATATATTGCCTCTTCAGTAGTTTTTGTGAATCCGTTTATCGAAATGCATGCTTTGGGTTGGATTCTGACATATACCCCGGATATTACAAAACGATTTGAGATGCTGTCTCAACATGTTGGCCAACTTGGTCTAATTAGTACCATATTTCTTCTTCAAAAGCTCTACTAGTGTAGAGATCATATTTTGGCTTAGTCGATCTTTTTGTTCGTTCCACTTTAACTCATAGTTAAGCCCAAAATTTCTACTTCTTCATTGAGAATAAGAAAGAGTTCACTCTATTAATAATAAATTAATTTTGATTTAAAAAAAATAAATATAAATTTATGTCGAATATAATTAGTATATGTCAAATATAATTAATTACAGCATTAATATTATTAGTTTTAAATTTAAAAAAAAATATAAAGAAATATATATATACTCAAAGAGCTTTTCTTCTAGCCCTATTATTTTCAAAACTGAGTTGGCTTGCTACTTCTTCGTCACTTGGAGGAGTAGGCCTTATTTGCATAGGCCTTTTTTGTGCAGCTGAAGCTAACGAGCCTTTAGCTGCACTTTCTTCTAGCCATTCGCTCTGATCTGAAGTTTGGTGCTTTAAAATTTGTAAAGTCTCGATGTCTTTGGCAAGGGCGGAATAGGAACTTCAAAAAAGTTGGACCATATCTTCTAGATCTATAATTTTTCAGTATTGGTCTCTCTGAATTCTATGTAGATCATCGATTTTACTTCACAGTAGTCAATTTTCTAATATTAAAAAAATAATAATAATAGTAATAATAATAATAATAATAATAAAATATCAGTTATAAATCAGTATGAATTTGATCACCAATTTTTTTTATTAACTAGCCTCTTTGGCTCTAGGATTTTTATTCAAGTATTTTGAACAGGGAGCTCACAGCGGAATCCAAATTATATTAGAGAGTACAACTAACTACACGTGCGCCTTTTGAGCACCTATTTAAGTAGTCTGCGTATGGTATTACATCGTAGATTCTACACTAGCTGCTATACCTATAACCCAACTAGGGGATTACCTATTTAAACCTTCTGTAACGTACACATCCCCCTTGTATCACCAGAATATCTCCACTATATTTGTCAGTCAAGAAGTTCTGGATGCTTACTGTAGCCTTAGGACTAATTTATCCTCGAGGCATCGTTGCTAAAGCTTTCCGTACCCACAATCTGGCTAACCTAAACTTTTGATAATTTACGCTAAGTCCAAGGACAAGTACTTGCGAGCCGAGACTACTACCATTACCTACTCTTGCCCTTATGAAGTTCACTCAGACCCCAGCACCCACTTTACAGACTACCACCAACTTTCCTGGCACACCAACAGCATATCCAAACTTCTAATCCAGATGGTCCGGATGGAACTTGCATCCTCTGATATTTTGATGAATCCTTTTCGCCATATACACGTGGCCTGGTTGATGTGGTGCCTTGCCAAACACCCAGTCCTCGTTCAGTTAGCTATCGGGTCTGATTGCCAATGATCTTCTTTTATGTAGTACCATTGAAGATCTGTACTACCTCTCTATTCGGAACTTACCAAGCGGGCTTCCGTATGCCCAATCCTCTAGATTTATCTGGATACATCACTTGGGTTTCATGTAACTCTTGCATTACACTACTGTTCCGCATCCTCTCAGTACTAGCTGGTATGACCAAGGTTACAGATGCTGATCTGTCAGATTATATACAGTCTGCTATAACACATTCTATAAAATTCGAATTTCATCGCCAGTGGGATTCGAACTCTTTTCCTGCCGCTTGGGGGTGTGACAACTTACCAACTTCACTAAGTCGCCACACTCTTAATTTGACCACTATTTAAGAAAAATAGATATATATATATAATAAAAATAATAAAATAAATTAGTTACAAATTGGCATGAATTCGATCGCCATTTTTTTTTAAAAAAAAATAAATAAATTGGCATATTTTAATTATTATTCAAATAAGAAAGAAAAAAACAATTATAATATCAGTATATATTTGGCCACCATTTAAGTAAAAAAGGAAAGAAAAAAATTAGTAAATAAAACAAAAAATCAGATATAAATTGGCATATTCAAATACTTAAAAAAATTTACCATTTTCCAGTCTTCGATTGTTTTCTGCTAAATCAAAATTAGCAAGAGTTCCAATCGTTCACTATTTCCACTTCAGCTTCTGCTTCTTATAGTTCTCAGTGATGAACGAGGCGAATGAGACAAATGAGGAGAGGTGGTTCTTTGTGGAGAAATAACTACTGTGGGCTGGATCGGAGTAGTGGATGATTGAGTTAAAGAGGTTGTCGAAGTAATGGATGGTTGGGTTGAAGGAGTGGTCAAAGTACTTGATTGTCTGATCGAAATGGTGGTTTGTCTGGTTGAAGAGGTGGTCGAAGTGGTGGATTGTCTGGTCGAAATGGTGGATTGTCTGGTTAAAGTGGTGGATTGTCTGGTTGAAGGAGTGGTCGAAGTGGTGGATTGTCTGGTCGAAGTAGTGGTTTGTTTGGTTGAAGGGGTGGTCAAAGTGGTGGATTGTTGAGTCAAAGTAGTAGATGGTTAGATCGAAGTGGTGGATGGTTGGGTTGAAGGAGTGATAGATAGTTGAGTCAAAAAAGTGATAGATGGAAAGTAATAGATAGTTGAGTCAAAGGTGTAGTGGATGGTTGAGTCGAAGAAGTTGTTGTGGGTAGTTGAGTCGAAGAAGTTGTGGAAGTAGTTGTAGATGGTTAGGTTGAAAGAGTTGTGGATGGTTGAGTCAAAGGAGTGGCAGAAGCTGCCAATTGAGAAGATTGGGTTGTTTGTCAAGTCCTTTTTGTTCTAGCCATGGTTAAAAATAATTTTTTTTTGAAAAACAATCTAGTGAAGTTTGGAGAAAGAAAACTTGGAAGAGAGAAAGTTGAAAAAAAAAAGTGTTCGATTTGATATTATATTTATGAAAATTTTTTAAATTCTGCTTACATTAAAAAAAAAAAATCAATATAGTAAGGGAGTCATTTAACAATTACAAGTTCTAAAGTAATTGTACAGAGTTTATACTATGATTACTTTAGAACTTGTAATTGTCAAATAACTAAAACAAAAAATCGACTTATAGTATATAGTTAATGTCATAAAAATAATACTCAATCATATAAAATTTGGCACTTTTAAAATCAAAACATCGTATAATACTATCATTCGACTACTTTATTAAATTATTGTTTTATAATCATCTAATATTGTGCTAAATATTATTCAGGAACCAACTTAGAGTTAATCAATAGCTTTATATCTATCTAACTATCATTACGCCACCAATTCATCTATCATTATCTAACTATCGTCTCAATATTTAAGAAACTTGTATATAGTCTTTGACTAACTATCATTGCGTCAACTATTGTCATGCCAATCAACCAACATACCTAAAGTAAACAGACTTTCTCATCTATTTGATTTGTGATTTGTAATATGATACAGAAACTTGTATAGAGTTAATCACTTCTTTGCCTAACTATCGATTGTCGATTTGTGATTTGTAATATGATTCAGAAACTTGATCAATTTTCTGCCTAACTATTGATCGTCAATTTGTGGTTTGTAATATAATTCAGAAATTTGTATTATATAGAGTTAATCAATTATCTGACTAACTATCAATTATCGATTTGTGGTTTGTAGTATAATTCAGAAACTTGTATTGTATAGAGTTAATCAATTCTTCGACTAACTATCAATTGTCGATTTGTGGTTTATAATTGTAACTATTAGATTTTTTTACTCCTATTCTTTTCTTTTCTCTTTTTTTTAATATTAATATTAGTGTTAGTATTTTTTTTTACTTCTCTATAAGAAAATATTATCAGATTGGTAATATCCTATTGTATGACAGTAGTCTGATATAGTCTTCAGAATAGGTAGTCTTCAGATTTTCTGTTGATTTACCATAATATATATTTGTAAATTTATTTAACTAGTGCAACAGATCGCTTATAAGTACTTCGAAGTAATTGCAGGATGTTAGGTCTAAATATTAAGCTCAACATTTTATACAGCCTGCAACAAAAAAAAAATCTTAATAAAGGATTACTGACAAGACTACCAAAGTTAAAAAAAAAGTATAATATACTTCTAAACTCTGAAATCTAAATAAACCTTGATCACTATGGTAGGTTTTAATTATATTACAATTTATTTTAACATTGTGCCTAAATCTCTAGTCTTAATATTCTCTAGATTTAAAATTTAAATATAATTTTTTTCTGTATATAGTCGTTCTCCTATACAATTACACAGTTGGGCACATAGTAAATTTTTTTTAAAATATGCTTATATAGAGGTTGTGCTTATAAGGAGGTCTTTTTATTATAAATTAAATCATAGTTTGGTCTAAATATAAATGTAATTATATATGGTGTGATTATATAAAAAATGACTATATAGAAGAATAACTATATCTATTTTTGCAAAAAAGTTTAATTAAATTTTAATAAATTAGAGGTATAATCTCACAATAAAAATTAAAAACTTAATAAATAGAATTTTTTAATTTTGCTATATTATACACAATCTGATTTTTGTTATATTTGCAATATATTATAAACTTGGATTTATAAGCTAATCAAATCAAATATGATTTAATAAAAAATAAAATAAAAAATTGTTAAAGCTTTTAGAAAATATATTCTCAAATTACTTCAAATTATATTTTATTATAAATGAAGATTAAAGAACATAAGTACATTTAAGATCTTGAATTCGAAAAAAATAAAACATATTCATTTATTTTAAATTTTCATTTAAAAGTTGTCCAAATTAAAAGAGCCAAAAACTAATTATTTGGATTATTTTAATTAAAATTGCATCCTTGTTCAATAGTTTTAAAAATAGTAATACTGTATTAAAAATTGTCATATATATAACAGAATCAGATAATTACAGAAATTAATTGTAAGCAATATAATATGCCCAAAATGATTGTTTGTTACAAAATTTTGATCACATTCATAATTTTTATTGGTTAAATATTTGTGTTATAAAAAAAAATAAGAGTACTGCAACTGTTCACAGAATAGATGTATATAGATTATCTCAAAAAATGTGTAAATAACAAAATCTACAATGCGAATAGTAGTATGTACTCTTAAATAAATTTGAAAAAGATTATTTATGATTAAAGTTTATATTTTTAATATTAAATAAATTAGAAGACTAGATAATGTTTAATATTATATAATTTAATAATATACTATAATTTTTATATAATCCTATATATTTGCATAATAAGCAACATGATAGAAATTAATTTCTTATTATACAAGAATGTTAAAAAATTTTACAAATTATCTTTAATACTTAAAAGGTCTATGATGTTTTCCAATAAAGGATTTCCGCCAAGTGTTTTAATTTTTTCATGAACCGAGTTTTCAGTTTTTGCCAAATAATTACGAGTATATTCAAAAGAACCGGTATCATTCATTATATTGATAGCATATTGTTTTAAATCAATAGAAGTTGTATGCTGTTTCAATATATCTAAAATATTATGAATTAATATGGTTAAAGACAAGTAAATTCTTAAAAGATTAAAAAGTGAAAAGATAATATCAGAATAAGGATACTGATTAATCTTCTATCATTAGGATCACTATGAATTGAATGTATAATAGGGAAAGAGAATTTTCCTTCAGTTAAGTCTTCACAAAAACCTTTGTTATCAGCATACTGTATAAAAATTTAAAGCATTTAAATTAAATATTTGAGATAAATAAAATTTTACATATGTAATAAGGTACCTTTTTCGATTGCAAATTCATATAATCATCACGAATCTGAAAATGTATGCCAATATCATCAACTAGTGGTACGTAATCTCTGTTTAAAAAATATTATATAAATAATGCTTGAGTGAAATATTATTTAAAATAATTAAAAATAAACCAAAGAAAAAATATATACATCTTTGACTTGCTAGAAAGTTGCATAAGTCTAATAGCAAATCTTAACAGACCACCAGTTTCTGAATGAAGAAAAATTACAATATATATTTTAAGATATATTTATGATATATTCATGATATATTCATGATATATTCAAATAAAATTAAATCATACTATTTGAAACCATTTCAATGAATTCAGCTTCTGAAGGGCATGTCAATGTATCTCTCCAATGTAATTCCATTCCTTGACCGCGATGCAAGTTTATTAGTTCAGCTAGAAAAAAAAATAATAATAATTAAATAAACTCAAAAAAAAGACGGATTCTAATAATAATATATGGATATATTTACACGTGTAAATTTTGAGCATTTCCGAATTATCAAATTTTGTGAGCTCATTTAAAGCAAGGAAATAAACATAATTCGCGCAGTTTATAGTTGCAGGTACACCGTATATAGAGTGAGCAACTATAATAAAGAAATAAGTTAGTATATGAATTAAACAATACATCATTATTGTGAAAATCACTCACCAGGAACACCACGGCGTAAAACCGAATCGTCTTCTACGTCATCGATTCTATATTTGAAAAAGAAAGTTAAAAAAAGAATTAACAATTCTTTATAAAAATTATTGAAAGTAGTTACATACAATAAACTGGCAGTGTGCAACATTTCAACAACAGTGGTAATAGTAGACAACTTGTCTTTGGGCACTTGAAGCCAATGATCGAAAGCATCGATCAACTTGCCCCTAATGTCTTTTCCAGGATTAGCTATAAGATAATTATAAGGCTCTAATAAAACCTTTTTATTATCATTCAATGCAAACACCGAGAAAAAACCAACAATTAGATTAACAGCTTTAGCATTAGAATATTAGAGAGCATCGCGTGAGAAATTCATTACCTCATCAACCGACAAAGAGTGCATAGTAGGTCGAAAGGTGGACGAATCAAGTTTTCTGTGCTTATGATTCATTTTTTTCAAAGAAAATATGAGACCAAGAGAGAGATTGCGGAAATGAAATATAAATTGAATCAGGATGTAACCGATAAATGAATTTACTATTCGGGAATTTACACACTATATCGATATCAACATTCTCCCGTATATAGGATCATGAGAACCAATCGGATCAAAAAATTGGAAACTTGGATTACCCATAAATATGTCCCTTGAATACTTAATTAACAATAACCTTGTTTTACTTCTTTGTGATTTGACAACTTAATACAATACTGTAATAATGGTAAGGCATTAACCTATTAGAATAAAATTTCAGACACTACTGCATTAACGATAAGCAGCAGAGATTGAAAATAAAAAAAAAAGCTAGATAAATTTATTTATTGGTAAATTACGTACGTACGTATGTAACTTTGTTATTTGCAGATTGAATCGACAGCCTGGGTAACGTTTTTGCAGATTGATAATCAACCTGGGTAACGTTTTACAGTATGACGTAAAGTTTTAATCATGCGTGTTTCCAATCAAAATGTTTTTCTTACCACAATGTTGTTTAAATAGTATTCGATTAATATTAGTAAATACGTACTATACGAATAAAAAAGACAAGATTGTTTTTAGTTTAATAGCGACTTACATCCTGCACATATATAAATAATAGAAACCTAACACTAAGGCTTATAAATACTAAGAGTAGATTTTTATTTGGCGTAAATGAATTAATGCTATCCAATGATCGTCTCTTCAAAAGGAAATACTAGGCCTGACAAAAAAATTATCAAATTGCTATTGGTTTTGTTACATTTTTATTTTTAAATACATTTAGCCATCTTCAAATTTCTTCCTTTAGAATTCACAAACTTTGATAAAAATTATTATCCAAATGTTAAAAATGCTTAATATGAATGCAAAATTAGATTACGTTCAGAAGTTCCTAATGTTCAATGGATATCAAAAGCAATAAATCAACTTCATTATAACAATCATAACTTTAAATTGATTATGCAATGATTATAATGAAATCCATTATTATTCTCCTTATTTATTTATATACTGTATGTATGTGAATGATATTATAATAATTTCCATAATAAAATACTTACTTAAGCATTCGGTGACCATTTTTTATTATGTATTCAACTTAAATTCATGTTTTTAGCAATGCTTCACGAAAGTGGGACAATAAGTAAAGAATCTTGATTTTGATAATGAATTTGACTGTTTCTGTAATTTATGCAGTAAATATTAAGTCTAAAATATGGGTACAAAAATATTTACGTCATTTGGTTACGCCGTACTGTGAAGGCGTATCGATATAGATTATTATAACAAATAGTAACTAGGTTTTGATCTTATCAACATCTATTCTACTGTCGCGCATATATGCCGTCGAGAAGATCTGGAGGTTATATCGTATGAACCATCTATATCCTTATTAATAGATGGAATCAGATTTCCATATATTTTTTTTACCAACATTTGTGATGTCACACAGTATTGCCATGAAAGAATTCGTTTATGCACTTGACCAACCAGAAATAAAATTTTGCAGAAATATGAAACAATAATCTGTCTGCGTTCTTGAAGCTAGTTGGCTTCTGACGTTTCCAATCTCAATAATCAATAACCAATATTGGTGTCCAATTATAAAAGAAATGTCAGATTCTACTCCGGCTCTCAACATTGAAATTAAACACGAGTTTCGATAATTTGGTCATGAAAAATGCTCAATTATTTTCTTCAATAACTTTTTTTTAGAATATAGAATTTAAGGTATTGAGGTTGATTTTCCATTATCAAGCTCGCAGTGGATGATTGGTTTTCATTAATTTCTACAAGTTATTAGTTTATTGTCTGAAGCATTGCTCAATATTATTTGCCCACACGCGCTTTATCAGGTGTAACATAAAATTTACGTGTGAATGTAATCAACCAATCGTTTAATAGGGTGTAACTAGAATTTGTGTTTTGTCAGCACGAAGCCTCCGGGTTTCGCTTAACAATTATATATACAATAGTGCAAAATCGTGATTTTGATCAAAAATATGAATTTAGTGATACAAATTACAGGAACGTAGTGAACCGAAATCTTGATTCTAATTAGATGTTATAATCATAATTGTAAAAAGTTATATAATAAAACCCTCTAAATACAAATCGAAAAGACTGGATTTTTGGTAGCATGCATTTAAAGAATAAAGAAAAATTGCAATTCTATGGAGATCAAGTCTATATTTGAACCATGGTTCAAAGTTGCAATTAGGGGACGTTATATAAGGTTTCATTGTAATATGAATGAGTTGCAAAAGTAAGTAATTAAAATAGTAATATATTTTAATTCTTATTGTAACTTTACAAACAAAAAAAAAAAAAAAAGAAAGAAAACTAGATTTCGTAGTTCAGTAGTTTGGCATGCCAGGAACGTAATGAAACCGAGCTAGAAAATCTTTATCAGATTTTGCTTTTAGTGAAATATATCGCGTAATTGAAAGCATATAGATATATACTAGACCCATATATAACCACCTGATAATTGTAAACATTAACTAAATGAAAAGATACGATTATAATGAACTATACATGCCGTAGAAACTAGTTACGGCTGTGCTATTTCGACATCGACTCATGCTGTAACACAAAGCTGAAACCAAAACTATAATAAATGCAATAACCTAAATTAAATATATAGAAGCCATCGATAGTAGAAATTAATTGCGGCTTGTCGAAAATATTTTATTATCAATTTTTTTAGAAGAAATAGAGCCGCAACTATTATAACATAAAGATGTAACTAAAATTTATATGAATGCCATAATTTAATTAAAATTAAAAGCCGCAATTTAAATATATTAGAAGCATTATGCATCTCGGAATTGTTAGCTGGAATTACATAGTTAATATAAACATAAATACATTTTAGCAAACTAAAACCTACAGTATTTTATAGCTACTGTATTTATTTATGTTTACGATACAGTATTTTATAAACAACGTTTAAATATCAAAGCATACGATTTTTAGTTTCAATATCGGCTTTTGGATAATGATTTTCTAATTCTTTTGACTTTCCACGCGTTCAAGATTTACCACATTTACATTTACACTATAATGACCACCTGGCCTTTTATATATCATTTCGCACTTCTTATGGGAATCTTCCATCTTGTGAAAAAGTAATAAAATCTGATAAGGTGAGACCAACTTGATTTTGAGTTTTACATCCCCCAGCGTTTCCCCTCTCCCTCATAGTAAAAATTTGATAAATTAATATAGGGCTACGGGCTATTTCTGAAAGTTTTTATATAGTCACGGAACAATTCGGATTTTTGAAAAAAATTTTATGTAAACCACAAATTCTCCCCCTACTGGAGGGTAATGTAAAACACAGAATCAAGTTGGTCTCGCCTAAATATGAAGCCGAATTTATAATTATTTGTAACAGTATATTTTATAAATTTATTTGACTGATATAACGAATATATTTTTATACATAAATTTTATAAATTTATTTAACTGTGATACTTTTATATAATCAATTTGGCTATATTTTAGGTTTTTGGTACTTTTTGACACTTACAGCATTAATTTTGGCTTTAGGTATTGACTATTGGTTTTGGCATAAATTTCGGCTTTAGTCAATGCCGAATGCCAAAACATAGGTAGAAACTTTTCTACGGCATGTATAGAATGAGCTCAAGAAATTTGATTTTAAGATAATTAAGTTTAGTGTATTTGAATTTATCCAGAGAATTAGTTTTTTATTGACTAATAATTTCGGTAAATTAGAGTTCCAATCTGAATTATCTGAATAATCCATATCGGAGAATATCCGAATAATCCGACAGATATTCGGATAATTATTCGAATATCAATAGTAAACTAAATTTGGATAGGATACTTCGGATAACGGATTACGAATATCTAATGGATAAATGGATAAATAGATAATGGATTGGAACACTATGGTAAATCGTGTCTCAAGATTTTTTTTTCGATTTACGCCGAAATTTACCGAATATTACAAAATCTACTTTTTGTTTTTCTGGGACAGTTTGGGCCATTTCTACTGCAAATGAATATCTTCTTAATGAGATTGATTCTAAAAATTTTTTAAATTGATTTGTCTTCGGAAGGTGCGACTAATAAGTTTAAACAGTTTCGGCAATACCTAATTGAATACGTAAATTTTATCAACTGTAGTATTAGGTAATAGCCTTAAAACTTGGATTTCACAAAAGTTGTAGCATAAATTCTTACTATCAATGCTATTTTAAAATTTTCGCTATATAGTAGCCATTAACGATAACAAATATTAATGGATAGGAGCACACCCTTTGTACTACCGGTAGTACACTTTATAAAACTCATAGCGAGCTCAAAAAACAGCAA